TGTCTATGTAGCCTTTTAAATTTGAATAAGATTGATGATACATTGAAAAACTTGATACATGCAAACGATACATTAAGAAGTGTGTATGTATCAAGTACATTTATATTGAACATGATAAAACTAATTGAAGATTCAACAACATTAGAGTTATGTATCAACACCTTAAATATGAATATGATACATTGCATAAAACAAGGATGAACGGAGAATCATATGTATCAGAAAAAAGGGTAAAAACAATTTTTTTTTGAAAAAAACGACAATGGAGAATATGAAAATTACCTAATTCAGTGGTTTAAATTTGATTGACTAGAGAGAGAATCCTTTTGAAATTCAAATTGAGATGAAAGTTGTAACTGATAAGATTGTGGAGTGAAATTAGGAGAGATTAAAGGAGTGAAAAAAGGAATGGAAAATGTGAAGTTAAGGCTAAAATATTTATGTATCCGGATGACTTAAGAATTTAGTGAAAATAAGGGATTTTGAAAATATTTTAAAATGATAGGGAATAATGGAAATTATGAAAAATAAAGGTGTGTATATAAGTAATTAATCCTTAAAGTAAAGATTATCTAAAGGAAATATGTCTTAAGTCCAATATGGGCTCATTTTATATAGGGAAACTTCGTAGATATACAAAAAAAAAAGGTTAGAAATTACGTAAAGTAGCAATAGATTTTTTTCTTTTTTAAAAATAGCATCATAACCTCAATTTAAATCTATACTATGTTGTTAAAAAGGATTAGATATCATTGTCGATTGAGTGTTGTTCCAAAAGTTTGAAAACATCTTGAGGAGCCTATATCTCAAGTTTGGCTGATTTGATGAGGTTTTGAATCAAATTTCATATTAAATTTTGAGGTCAAATAAAAAAAGTCTCAACCATATCTTTTGTACATCATATGTGAGTCTCACACACACACACACACACACATATGTCTATATGTATATCACTAGTATGTCATATATATGTTACTTTTATGTCATGTAAAAGTGACATACGCATGGTATACAATAATATACATTTGGCATACACACGATATGCACTTATTCAGCCACATACCATCACTATAGCCCCCACTAGGGACAACAATAAACACCATGTCAACAAAATTAAAATAAAAAGGAAGAAGAGGAAGATGATTTATGTTTGTTTAAATTATTTTTTTCCTTGTTAGTAGGGGTGTTATATATCATGAGAATAAGTACAAGAGGAGGGCACTATTCTACCAGGATGAAACTTTTATCCTTCGCAAAAAGAGGACTAGGAGATTACAAGGAATCAACATTATTTTATTATTGATTTGAATTTTATTTCATGAACACAAGTCAGTTAGCCTTAAAGGTCAAAAACAAAGAAAAGGGAAAGAATGAAAAAAGAAAAAGAAATAGAAAGAGATTAGGTCTATCAAAATTGAAGCTTAAAATTAAAGGTGCTTATGTCCTAAATTACTATATTTAAAAATAATTGTGATGTTAGTCATTACTTGAATGTTTCTATTAAAATTTAAAAAAAAATTCAATGAACATGAACTTGATGATATGGTTACTGATGAAGATGACGAACAATCGACTCAGAGTAACATTATTGTTTCGTCTTCTCTGTCATCGATTAAGAAATAAAAGCTAATAGGGAAGAGATTGTTCATAGAATGTGGGAAAATTATATAAAGGAATAGTTTGTTACTACCTCCTTCGGAAAAGTTAAAATTCTAATTTGAGTGACAAAATTGAGAAAAAAGAACAATTTATTTTTAATGGGTTATAATTATAACCGAATCAATAACTAGTTTGAATATGCGATTAATGTATTTCTCTTGCATATATTGTTATTTTGTTGTTGTTGATTGTTATCAGTTATGTTATAAAGTTAGTTTTTAACGGAACATATTCACTATAAATATATAATACAAATTTATGGGTATTTTTAATAGTATTTTGAACTAATGGGTATAAATCATATTTTTTGAAATAGTCAAATATTTTTGGAAAAATTTGAGGCCAAACACATGGTGTAATTCCCCACAAACTTGGGGCCAAACGCTAGCTTAATTTGTGATTATGTTTTTCATTTTCTATGTTTAAAAATTGAATGTGAGTGATATTCATGTTTGTCCTTAGAAATTTAAACATTGATGGATTAATTATTTTATACTATCTTAAAAGTATTAACTCTCTAATTTGAATGTTAAATTATTATAGTATATATTCCCAACAAAAAACACCTTCTAACCTGAATATTATATTACTATAATATCTCAATTATAAACACTCAAATTTAGTATATCTTCTATATTTAATTATTTATTTATATTATATTAAAAATAAATATCTTTTCATAAAATTTGACTCATTCATGCCGTTATCTGTTGTTCAAATAATTCTATAGCCTTTGATATTTATTAATTATTATGCAAAGTCATCATACAACCTGCCGAATTACTTCTATGCTTCAATATTATTACATTTGATGGATTGCCTCTCTTTTCGATATTTGTCATTATTTCTTAATAAGACATTCTCTGTTATATATTTCTCCTTAACAAAATCTAATTGATTTGTTGAAATAAAGTTTAACAAAATATTATGAAGTTTTTCATGAACCACCTTTGAGATAACCTTATTAATAAAGTTACTCAACCTGTTGGTGTAATATACCACAAATATAATAAATTACAGTTGAAAATAAAATAATAAAAATGAATAAACAAATCTTCTAGGCTGAGGCGCGGATATCTCGCTCTCTTTAAGGAGATTCAAGCCCACTGCGACATAATCTACACCGATCCAACAATATGTCTCTTGACTTGTCCCCTCCAGGATACAACAACCCAACAACGTCGTATAACTCAAACAACTCTGGATTAGTTGAAGAGTCCAAAACTCCACATAAGAACACCTTCCTTCAATATATAAATATTCTCTTTTGTATATAGTGAATATAGTTGAAGACTTAGAATATTATTCTTTGTCTCAACTCTCTCTTTCACTACAACACTAATCTCAATATAAACACAATAAAATACTACTCATCTTTTTCACTATATTTTTTTGTACTTCTCTTGTTTTTTCTTATCACACAACACAAAGGAAGACCACACTATTTATAGGTGATGAATTCTTCCTTGCAATGAATAGGAAGATAGTGGGTAGTAAATTTGCCAAATGAATGGCTCAAATGTTACATAAGTTACAAGACATAAAGATAGAATAATTGATGAAATGAAGAGTTGGTGATTACATAAGTTACTAAAAATTAATGACCACTTTCTTCCACAATTGATGAGAGTAAATATGCACAAATGTAATGTCCATCAAAAGACATAACATGATATATAATGTGACATATAATATATTTTTATTAATATTAAAATGTCACACCAACAATCCCCCACTCATTTTAATATTAAGTTAAGAGAGTTCTTCACAACTTAGTTACAGGTAGACTATTATGCATAATGAATGTGTGCTCTGCATTGAACATTCACTTAGTAAAATAATAACCTTTACTCCAGAGTCAGTAGTGGTCTCAGACTTGAACTATGACTGCTTAAGGGAAATAAAGTATCATTGCTTACACACAATAGTCAAGGTGTTGACATAAGCTTTAATAGCCAGCACATTACGACCTTGTGCTATCCCGATTTCATAAGTGTTTTTGAGAACAAGCTCATTCTCATAGAAAGCGACCTACTTTCACACTCACATAGGTGAAATCTGTCAAGGGTGCTCCTATAATTTGACACCCCACTCATACGAGATACAGACTTTCATTAAGAGTTAAAATACTCAACCTCCACAAATAATTATAGGATAAATGCACTCACATCATATGGATTGAATGAAATTAACAGTAGTGCATTTCACAACAAGCCATCATATGATTCGTTCTTCCCATTGAACATGGTTATAGGATCTCTAGTCCCCAGGTTGGATTTCCTCATATATAACTTAGAATTTTTTAGCTTCAATTCCATCCCCCTCGATGTGCTTCAGACTCTTTTTATTGCAAAGGCCTCAGTTTATAAATCTGCAAGATTGTCACAAATTTTAACACAATTAATATTGATGGTATACCAGTGATCAATATGATCTCAAAATTTTGTGTTTTCTCCTCATGAGTCTGAATTTATCATTTTAATAATGATTTTATACTCTACCATTATATTGGTGCTATCACAATTAATCAAAATTAGAAAATTAATTTCTCAAAATAAAGTGATTGATATAGTAAAATCAATTCACTTTTTCACTAGTTGAAGCTTAATTATTTTAACTTCAACCTCCATAATAGAGTTAGCAAAAAATAATTTACTTTTCTCATCCCACCAAATAACACCAAATTTTTCTCATCTAGTTTGCTTGTACCTTCAAAGTACTTTACTGCAAACACAACATTAAGTCAAGTTTTTAGTCACATAGCTCATATTTTTATTAGGCTAGCAAACTCTCTTTTTTTTTATATATATTTGTCACAACTTTCTCACACAATTGAATCTAAAGGAGTTTCAAGACTCACACAACCAACAAAATTGTATCACAATTTTTTCAATATTATGTGACTTGACAAGGAAAATTCTATCACATGTTTATGGTATTTTTTAATTCCAAGAATGAATTTTTTCTCTCCCAAAACATTTCATGTTAAATGGCTACTCAACATTTTTTTCATAATTTATTTATAATTCTCATGTTAGAGCTAAAAATCATCTCATTATAGCCAAAAAAACATGTGATTTATTTCATAATAAATATCTGCACTTGTAATACTCTTTTTTAAGAGCATTTCTCAAAGATGCAAAAATCATTTTTTTTTAACAATGATTTTTTTTTTCTCATTTCATGAGCCCCACTATTTTAAGAATTTAAATATCATTTTTCATGAAAAATAGTATCACTTTATTCATGAAAATACTAGGCAAAAAAATAGTACCTCTTCTCTCAAATCTCCCCCTCCTACTCTTCCAAGCTTGTTTGAGCTCTCGTGGCATTTGCAACAGCCACCACCGGAGGAGCTCCGTTTCCCTCTCCGACGAGACGTGTTCAAAGACTTGCCTCAAGGGAGAGAACTATTTTTTACAACCTCAACTGAGCTATTAGACTGTAGAGGCATCACTTACGATGTCTTGACTTCTATTATGCGTTCAAACTCTAGTCTCACCGCTGCAACGGCTACCGATCGGGATTCTTACATTGGCCTTTGGGATGATTGCATTAATAGGATCATATCCAAGTTTTGTTCCATCGAAATGGTATTCGTACGGAAATCTTCATCGTCTCTCGCGGAGACCGTACAAGATCAATGGCCTAATGTTACTGCTTTTTTAAGGAATTTTTGCTTGTGGAGAGGAGAGGAAACTGATCAGTTAAGAGAAGGTCAATTAGATCCGTCCTCTTCTATTGTAGAGAAATTCCTTTGGAGTTACATGGACCTTCCTTACGTGTTAGGTTACTATGCCGTTGGATTTGTTGTTACTTTCTGTGCGTTAAGTCGAGCACAGGACCGTATCATCCGAACGGATCTTTACACAGTGGATCTATCAGCACCAGTGGAAAGATTAAAAGCTTTAGTCCCGTGCTGGAGAATTGCCGGATTATTACCATTATTAGCGGATAAATGGTTCCATTACGTGAGCAATTTCCCATGCACCGATTTTGAGCGAACAGATTTGGGGAATGGAAGAAAATTGTAGTGATATATGATTTTCTCGATCACAGAATCCCACACGCAGAATTCGTGGTTAAGGCATCGGAAAAAGATCTCGCATTGGTATTCAAGCCTAGAGATTGCAAAATGAAGCCTATTAATTGTGATGAATTAATAGAAGCATTGAAACAGATCACAAAAGCGTTAGTTGCACTACATGATCTGTCATTTATGCACAGGGATTTGGGATGGGATTATAAGGTCATGAGGAGGGAGAACGAATGGTTCATTACTGGATTCGATGAAGCTGTGACTGCACCTCAGCTATATCCTCACGGCGAAAAAAAGGAGCAGCAGCAGCGCCGGAAATGGGAAGGAATTATCACGGAGTGAAAGTGGATATATGGGGAATAAGGCAATTAGTGAAGAGCTGTGGATTAGTAGGGGTGCCGAAATTGCTGAGGGAATTGCAGAATAGGTGTTTGGACCGTAATCCGGAGCTAAGACCAACGGCGGCAGACTGCTATCACCATTTGTTACAGCCACCGCCAGAGGGTATTGTCATATCTCTCTTTTTAATTTTACCCCTTGCTATGAAGCTACCTATTTCTCTTTTATTTGTTTCTTGGAACATAAAATTCTTAAGTTAAAAAGATTGAATTTGCCATATCTTTTCTTTTTATTAGGGAGCTTATTTTGTCAAGTCCATTCAATGATGATAAAGTAGAAAGAAATACTACTTCCACTTGAAGATGTCATTTTAGCTATGAAGTTTATTTTTGTTACTTGATTAGCTTCACTATAACAACAATGCATAACTTTCACTTCTGCATCTTCAAAACATGAGTAGTGTCTCTGATGATCTTCTGCACTATCTTGAATCTGTTTAACTTGGTGTTGTCCCATTATTTTTGTGATGTTTAATTTCTCCATATCTCACAGAAAGTGATTAGAGGGGTCACTTGAAAAATGATTTTGTGCACTTCATAATTATTTTAAAGTTTTACATACATCCACATTCTGAGTCATGTTATATGCTTTTAGTTTGAGGTGACAAAAAAAAATCAGTAATAGAGATGTCAACTGTATAAATTCAAATTTTTAGGACCAGTTTTAGTTTTCTAAGATCAAAATCCTTTTTTTTCACATCAAGACTTGTTAAAAGTCTAGTATGTAGGTCATATGTCCCCTCTTTTGTAAGTATGTTAATTGGAACTCTAAGACACAATAGTATAAGTTTGATATCTAGGACTATGGGTGTACATGGATCGGATTGGTCCGGGTTTTTTAAATACCAAATCAAATTATTTGTGTCGACTTTTTTAATCTATAAATCAAATCTAACTAACTGTCAATTATTTTAAATTTGAAAGGCATGATTATTCATGATATTTCTTTCTCATTTTTTCAGTTCTATTCTAGAGAGATGTAAACTACATTTATTTGATTTATTCGTCTTTTTTTTTTACCAATGAAAAACCTTATAAATTGAATAAATGAACAAAAAATTGGCGATGCCATTTATTTATCCTTTTAATAATCATTGTAATATTAGTAACTCAATCACACACATTTTTAAAGACTATTCAACAATTTTTAAAGTAACATATGATTGAATGAACACTAATTTAATTTATTTTAAAAATTCAAAATAAAGTAAAACAATAAAAAATAAAAGAAAAAAATCACTTTTTTTTTATATAAAAAGAATCAATGAAGCAGGGTAAAAGTAGGAAGAAACGTTAAACGCGGCATGACAAGGCAAGTTAAATTTAATGGATTAAGGACAATTTTTTTCTTCCCCGATCCGTTTTGCTCCATTCTTTGATTTACTTCTTTATATGTTGAACCCCCTCTTCTCCGCATGTTAGCAATAGACATGATATATAGAGGATGTTGGGTTGGTTTGGTCTCGGATTGACTTTTTAAAGTTAAAACCAAACCAACCCAAGTATAGTCAGAGTTTAATTCTCCAATACCAAATCAAGTCAAACAAAATAGCTAGTCGATTTTTTTCTTGGTCTAACTCAGTTTGTGATTTAGTACGATTTTCTGTTCGATTTTGTTCACCCCTATCTAGACATAGTTCTTAATTGGGTTTTATTTTAAAATATTGAAAAATAGATAATAAATAGGATAAACTATTTTATTAGACATACATCACTACCATATATACGAATTTTACCTCTACTTTTCAAAACAATTACATTATATTTACCACTTTTTAATAATTATACCATATATTATTAAAGATACAATCAAATACCCACCTCTCTTAAAATTAGGTTTGATTAATTAGCTTTACATTTAAACTCCAAAATTAACATTTTAATTAAAAACAAATATCTTTCTCTCAGGGAATATGAGTTAGGGTAAAACTCTAACTCTTCCTTTTTTTCTTCCCTTGATCTGTAGTCAGTGAGAAGAAACACTCCATTAAAATTGATGTTCTACAACTTGTCAACACACACGTCAAACTCTTAGCCTTTGATTTTCCCACTCTCAAACCAATCCCCCATGTACCCACCATTTTTTCTCGAAAGGGGAGACGCCTCTCGCGCGTAGAGACAATGGGTATTGTTGTAAGCAGAGATTTCATGCACAATAGATTTATCAAATTTGACATTGACAATGGTACTGATTACATACTCAACTAGCACTACAAACAATTCGATCATTAGGGACAAATAATTTCGTCATTTATAAATCATATTTCGTCACTAAAAATTTTGTGAGACGAAAAATAATTCGTCAATCAGTCGTCACTAAATGTGTGTCACGCCCGAGCCTACACCCTGGGTGAGACTAGCACTCGAAGACCATTGCTGGCCCCAAGCGAACCCTTGGCCTGACTTACTTACTCAGCGGAAGACTTAAACTCAACAAAGATAAGTTCGTATAATAAACTGGAATGTTATAAAAGGAACATTCAATTGGCCATTAAGGCAAACTCAAGTCTCAACATGAAATAATGACAATGAAAAGACTAAAGAACTAACATCTGATTGTCTATGAAGCCTCTAATAACAACTGAGATGGATGTTGGGACAAACCCCACAACATCCTAATGAACAAAACTATAAAACAATGGAATGGATCATCCGGAATGCAAGGAAGCTCACCAACAGACTCTGAACTACTCACTGGATCAACGATGCGTCGAAATGCCGATCTTAGTTACCTGCGTCTGCATCATAAGACGATGTAGGCCAACTGGCATCAGTACATTGAATGTATGGGTATGCGAGTTGTAATGGTAAACATAACATAGGCTTGAAAAGGATCTGAAAGAAACACTTACCTTGGCTCTTCTCAACTCATGAATACTTAACTGAACTCATTTCATTATAAAGCAGTTTAAAACAAGTGCAATATAAAGAAAAAGAAAACTGTTTAAAACATGCAGTCAACTCATAATCATAAAATCATAAAAGACATATCATGATCTCTCTCACAGTCTACTTGTGCAATGCATGAATGAAGTCCTATACTCACATCCATACTAAGCAGAACCCCTTGAGGAACCATGCAATTACTATTGTGGGAGTTTCTCTAATCGACAACCATCACTTAAGAACTATAGTGATGATACAACGTTATTAGCCCCACGTTGCCCGGGTCATCCTATACCTTGCCGTGGTATAGGACCTGAACTACTAAGTGGATCCACTAGTCTATGCGAAGAGGATTCATCTAAAATGTATGATCATTTTCTACCCATGATGTTTACATGGTTTATGGAGCCGTGAGTTATCTGAACTCAAGCTCGTCTCCATATCGGTGTTCAATACTACTCCCAAAAATATAATAATATAATATTAGCTCTTATGTTTAAAAACATACTTCTTATGTGATTTGAGATTAGTGCTTAAAAAGTTAGCTCAAAGGCTATCTTGGAAATCTCAGTTTCCCTGCTTGCTTCATTTAGAAAGCTATTACTCTTTTCTGAAAACTAGCCCGAATGCTCTTTGGAAATCTCAGCCGTTCTTATTTAAATGTGAAAAATATTTTAAATCTCTTTGGGAATACTTAGTCCCCATATACTTTTTGAAGAAATGAACTTCAATCTATAATCTTTACTCTTTACTCAACTTGAACTTTAAGTCTTAAAACAAGGTTAAAAGCATTTGCAAAAGACTTCTTGGAAAGACTTTGAAAACTTCCTAGACTTGGCTCTTGACTTCCCTTGAATTTTGAATTTATGGATTCAAGGTTATGATTCATATTTATGGATGATTTCTAGGTGTTTAGAAGTCATTTAGAGTAGTTAGAATCAATGGAAAGTGTTAGGACACTTTAGAATAACTTAAATAGGCTAAACGACGAAAAACTGGTGAAAAACGCCGATTCGGGCGCGTCCCTGGCGCGCCGTGCCAGGCCCTAACTTACTGGGGCTTGTTTTGGACGAATTGCAGGCACGCCGTCCCAGCCTCCTGGCGCTATCGCGCTACCTGTTCCTTAGGCAAATTTCTGACGAACGTTCAGTCTCGTTTTCTGATCCTAAATCATTTTAATCCGATTCTTTTTCCCAAATTCACTTTAGATTCATGTACCCAAATCATATACAAAAAATCTAACCCAAAAATGAATTAAAATAAAAGGGTAAGGAAAAGACCAAAACACCCATTAAAAATCCGGATTGGACATTTCCTTATTCCATCAGCCCAACTTCCAAAGGGCATAACTCTCTCATACGAACTTGGAATCATGCAACCTCGGCGGCGTTGAAAAGAACATTCCAAGGTCTTTCCAACCACATATGAAACTACACCTAACTCATTCTGAGCTAGGAGTTATGGACGTTTGAAGTTGACCAAAGTCTCACTTTTCCTAACTTAAACAAATTTCCAGATTTTAATTCTTTCTAAAAATGACTATTTCCAATTATAAGCTTCTTCCTAGTAGTTTCAAATTGCGAGATGTTACAATGTGTGTCGCTAAAAGTATACAAACACGATTTAGTGCTTCGTCGCTAAAAGTATTATATTAACTACAAAAAAAAAATCGTCCTCAAATTCTTAAACATTTGTGACAAATTTATTTTTCGTAAAAAGTATATTTTTTTGTAGTTAATAGTATGCTTTGTCACCAAAAAGGTTATTAATACTGACAAAATTATATCGTCGCTAATTATTTTACTTCAATCAATGGTGACATCAATTGTCTCTAAAGTTATATTTATTTCGTAGTTGAACAAAATCTAATTTCGTCACTAATGACTATATTTTATACACAAAAAATTATTTTGTTCTTAAATGTATCAATTAGGGATAAATTTATTATTATAAAAAAGGTTAATTTTCCTATTGTCTCCCCTAATCTCAATTTTTTTTAACCCCTCCCGAGGAGCTACCACATTATGCTTTCTTGGGGACTTGAACTCACCACCTTAA